CACTGAAGAGGAAACAGCATTGATTTACTACTTCATATAAATGCATTTAGAGTCTCTCAGTAGCAGGTGTATATTAACTTTTGTGCAGTTTCCATTGCAAATATGCTCTTCACAAAAACCACACTATCTTCAAATGTTCAGAAAGAAAATCCCATGCTGTTGACTTTGCAGCTTCATTTCTGAAACAAACTTCCTGTTGTATTAAACAAGTACAAACACTGGTTATAAAAAATGTAAAACAATTCTAAGAAGGAGTATCATGGGTAAGGAAAATGCCTGAAATGTTCAAAGTTGTCTGGTATGTTACTATTTGGAGTAAATAAAAAGTCATGATCAAGAACTGTATTTTGGTGACCCTGTTGTTGAGCAATGATAAAAAAAAATAGATGTTGGGAGTTTGAAAGGGTCCAATATACAACAGTATTCTTTCCTGCCTGAATTCTGCCCAACTGAGAAATAAGAAAGGCAGAAGGAAGGCCCAGATGTTACATTTATTACTAACATAGCAGACACGAGAATGTGGCTTCTATCTGCACGCAAAGGATTTACTAATTGAACTCCAGAATTAGACTAATCTAGCTCACACCATTAAAGGCAGAACTGGATGCCACAAGCTTTCTCTCAAGGAGTCCTATCACTATAAAACTTAAGGGATAGAGGAACAGAGTAGAACATACACTCCCTGAGGCCAGCCCGCAAAGAGATAGGGAAAGGGAGGGGCTGCGTTCTAGTTATCCTTCCAAACTCATCAACAGGATTGAATCAATCCTCCTGCCCCTTAGAATAAGAAAGGAGGAGTTTTTGGGGGGGTCAGCTAGGAGGGTTAAACCAGTAAAGCTTTTTTCAGTGGATCTATCCCACTGGTTAATATATACCAAGTCTTTGCAAGTAACATCGAAAATATATGAAGACATTTTATCTTTGTAATAAAAATAAAATTATATGTAGACTCAATCACTGGAACAAATATTTATTTAACACTATGTGTCCTTGACTATGTTAGATGCAGACACTGATAGAAATATGTAGTTCCCAGTTCAGTGGGATAGACTGATACACATAACTATCATAGAATATAATCAATGATATAACAGAATTATAAGCATTTTCTCTATGAACACAGAGAAACAGTAGAGGAAAGCTTTCCTAATTTATTATGCTCTTTTACTCCTTCATTTATTTATTCAACACTTACTATATGCCACACTCTGTACCAAGATATTAGACCATAAGTATAAAGTGGTAAACCAAGTAGACAAGATCCTTCCCCTTACTGAGCACATGGTGGAGACAGACGTTAATAAAATAAAGCACATAAATATGTAGTTACAAAGTGGAATCTGTGCTATAAAGGAAAAATACAATGTTTTATTAAGAAAAATAAGAGGTTACAAAATTCAGATCCCAGGGATCCTTCTCTGAGGAAACATTTCCAGTACGATCTAAAGGATCAGATATGTCCCACCAGGTAGGAGACAGGCAGGCAAGGAGCAAACATATAACCTGAGGAGAAGAAAAGGCATAGATAAAAGTCTTAGGTAGAAGAAAGCTTGAAGTGCTTAAGGGAGCAGAGTAAGAAGGGGACCATGGTTGAAAATAACATCAGGGAGGTGACCATACACCTATTGTGACAAGTCATGGACTTTGGGTTTTATTACGTTCATTATGAAGCCACTGAATTTGATTTGAATAAGGGGGATGACACAATTCAATTTACAATGCAATGAAGGCTGCAAGCGTGGGGAGGGGAGAGCAGAAGAGAGATGGTTACTGTAATCCAGGTGAGACAGCGTGGTGGCCAGAACTAGGATGCTAGCAATGGAAAGAGAAGTGGAAGGATTCAAGAAATATTCTGTAGGTAAAAGCAACAAAACTTGATGATGGATTGAGGTAGGGAGAGAAGGATGAGATTTGTGAACACATCAAATGTGCTTGCTACACTCTGGGTTTGAGTAATACCCAGAAAAAAATGACATGTGAGCTGGGCCTTGAGGACTGCATCAGATTTTAGATAATGGAGAAGAAAGGGAAAGACACAGAGGTCTGAAGTCCTGTGGCATATCTGGAATTGCAAAATTGTATTCTGATGCACTAGCAGTAGAGGGTATATGGCAGAAATGCAGGGAGATAGTGGATTATGCTTTTGTTTTTGTTTAATTGAGGTAGCATCACTTCAGATCTATTTCTATGTTTATATTAAATTGTTGGGAATTCAGGACTGGAATATAGGAAGGAGGTATTAGGGCCAAAGATTTGGAAATTATCTATAGATGATAACTAAAACTTTAGATCAGATGAGATAGCCCATGGGGAGTACAAAGTAAGGATACAATCAACTAGTGACCTTTAGGAAGCCTCTGCATTTAAAGGACGGGCGGAAGGAAAAATGAGAAAGAAGTTGAGAGGCATGAAATCCACGTGGATAATATGAAATAAAAATGAAATCATAAGTAATTATACAATTATAATTACGTCTAATAATTAGAGCATTTACTGTGTACCAAGCACTGTTCTAGGGCTTCATATATATTAAGTTGTTTCATTTTTACTTTCATTGTGACGTAGGTGTCATTATTAACTTCATTTTATAGATTTAGAGAATGAGGCACAAACAAATTAAATTTCTTGTCCAAGGCCACTAACCTAGGAAACAGCAGAGTTGGAATTCAAAGGGGTTTGTCATCTTAACCTCTATGCTTACAGTCTCTTGAGGCCCTGAGGTTTATCATTTCTGTCCTCCCTGGACTATGAGAAAAAACTAGCTTGGTCAGTTCTACAACCCGCAGGGAGGCTTCTTGTGGCTTAGGTGTTAATCATAGCAATATTCTATAAGTTAGTTGCTTTAACATGTGTTAATTAATGACCTCATAATCTTCACAACAGAATCTTTTAAGTAAACAAACATCTTTTAATCTATAAACAGGGAAAGAGCACCTAAAGCTGAGACCATTAAGCCACCGTAAATATAAAGTACTGGTTCTCTACAATGACGGAAGGCATCAAGATAGAGTCCAACAGGTAACCTGGACATGGCAGAAGCAGATTAACTTAAAAAATCATTACTACAAAAGAATTTCAATAATATAGACAGAATAAAATAGGTATCAAAATTTTCTGATTACTAAAAGTAGAAACAAGAAACTCATAGAGATGAAGTAATATTAATTCTTTTATAACTGCTTTCTTACTGGCTAAAGTTAATAAAAATAGAAGTACAGTTATAATAACCTTAAAATAAAACTGGTTCTGAACTAGGGACATTTTGCCCACTTATCTCTGAGCAGGGGACATTCAGCAACATTTGGAGACACTTTTGGTTATTCACAGCTAGGGGTGGGTGGTGCTACTGGCATTTAGTGGGTAGAGGCCAGGAATGCTACTAAATGTCTTAAACTGCACAGGACAGCCTCCCACAACAAAGAATAATCTGGCTCAAAATCTCAATAGGACCAAGTTTGAGAAATACTGCTATAAAAATAGCATCTAAAAGTAGCATCAATAAAAATACCAATAGTAGTTAATCCTGAAAATTTAAGAAAAAGGCAATTATAGGACACAGTATACATTTGAACACACAAATGAAGAAGACTATTCGATGCCAAAATGTATGGTTAAAACCAACTTAATTTGCCCTTAATGATGCTGAATTAATGTCATATCATTTCTCATCATCACCAGCTCCTTGTTATTGTGCTAATTATAAGACTGATGGCCCTCTTTTCTAAAATCTTTATACTCAGTACTTTGACACTTATCTTCACACTTGAAATAATTTTTATGGAACATACCAGAAGGGAAACTAAGCTACACATATTAAAGAATTTAAAGTGGCAACTGATAAATATTGGCATTCTGTTTAATAACTGCTAAAATACAAAGAATGGCCTAGGTAGAGAGATTGATGTTCCTTTCTATCCAAATTTCCTCTGTCACCATCTGTGAAGAAAAAAGCTCTCTCTAACAGACTTTGTATGTTTAATTTTAACCCAGGGCAAATTTTTATGACTAAGTGATATACCCACCAAACTGGAGTTCATACTGGAGGCCCTTATACTACTAACCATAATGATACCAGCGGGCATTACCATTTTTAAAAGTGTAAAAAAATCAATGAGCAGACTGTCATTACAGAAACTCATTCTGCATCAAACATATCACCCAAGAGATTGATATTTCATGCTTATAAAACTTAACATAAAATTAAATTGCAAATATTTTCTCACAATCTACTAAAATTATGGCCTAAGGCAATACACTGCTAATATGAAGCATTTGTTCAGCTCTAGTGGACATATTTCCTATATGATTTATGTGAAAGAAGGTTTCATTTGCCTCTTCATAGATTCGGTAATGAGGTTTCTGTTTCTTACATTAAGCCTAGGAAATATACGAACTTCTCAAAATTAAGCCAGCAAATATAACAGTGAATTATTAATAAATAGTGAAATTAATAAACTAGGGGGGGTTCTCCTTCTGTATCTGCCTATGTCATTTCAAACATCAGCCATTCTTTCATTACCCAAATACAGGAAAGCACCTAAATATACCATACATAAAATACATTTTCATTCTTTAGACACAAAACCAGAGTGACAGATTTCAAGTAAAATAGTAGATTTTGATTTTTTCCCTGAAATCTATAAAGATAAAAAATAAATCCAATCATTCCCGCCCCAAAAGTTAGGAATAACAGAAAGGAGAGTTGTGGAAACAATACTTTGCCTTAATCCATTAGGATGTGAATAACATGGAGTCCATGAGGTATAGAAAAAGATAAAATTGATTTCACTGTTATCGACTTGATGCATCATGAAACTTATGTGTAGCACTTTCTAGCCAGTAAAGTGTTTGCTTATTAGCATGTTTCAGAATGCACATAAAACGAAGTAACTTCTTCATGTGGAACTTAAAAAACTATGCATTTAGCTTTATGCCAAAATCTACTTGATAACTTGAAAAACTACCATAATTTATTCCAAAGTATAATAGGCAATTCTTACCTTAAGCATTCAGCATCATTTTGAGGCTTTTCATTGATTTTTATTTTTTCTGCCTCTAGGTGTTTGGTAGTACAAATGGCTTCATTTTTTTTTATCTTCAAATCCTAAACAATTAAGAAAATTCTTACAATCTTTAAAAAATTAAACATAAAAGTTATCTTCATTTGTAAGAACAGTATTTTGGTTTCTGGTGCTTCATATAAAATATGTGTAGTAATGATTTTTATTTTTTTTACTTTAATACAGCAATTAAAGGCACAAAAAGAATCTTAACAAAATTTGTGACATTAAAAATACCAGATTTAACACTCATCAATTCGGGGTTGCACTTATTCCTTTTTACATCAAAAACTGCACTATATCCCAATAGGCTAACACATTTTTAAAGAATAATATGACCCTTTAATGTGTATACAACTATATTTATCAGCAAATAAACTAACTCATAAAGATAATACCTTTAAGCTTTCTCTGCAAAGTACATAATTCCTGTATTAATTCACTCTTCTGTTTTTGAAGTTCATTTAACTGGCCACTATCATGTTCCATTGACTTCATTTCTAGAAACAAATAGACAAAAACACATTTTAACTATTTTAGGCTTCGCCTTATATGTGTCAGCAAACTTAACCTTTCTTGTGTAGTGAAAATTTAAGCAGCATATGGCCAATTCTAAGCCTCAAAAGGCTTCCCTTGGCCAATTAGAAACTGTTCCTAATAAACTGACTAGGATTAGGTAAGCAACAACTGGATACAAAAGCAAGAGTTAGCTGATAGTTAGAGAATTCAAAATTGTGTAATGCCACTAAGTAAAACAAGCTTCTCAAAGAAATAAGAAAACTATTCTTCATAACTAAAGCATATTTAAAATGACATTGCATAGTACTCACTATATGGCTATAAGATTTCAAAATATTGCTAACATTATTTCTTCTACCTAAATGTCTTTCCACCCTTTATTCCCACAACTAACTCCCATTCACCCTTTAAGATTCATCTTCTAATTTTTCAAATATTTTTTCTCTTCCAGCATACCTTCTGGGACTTCAATTACACATTTCTATGGACTAATGCTTTTATGCCCTCTTCCTGCCCCCAATCATGTATGGAAGCCTAATCTCATGTGATAGTATTTGGAGGTAAGGCATGTATCAGTACTTCATCCATTTTCATGTCTGAATAAATGTCTATTGTACAGATATGCCATATTTTACTTTTTGCATTCTTTAGTTGATAGATATTTAGGTTATTTCTACTTTTCGGTTACCATGAACAATGCTGCTATGATCTTTCATGTAAAAGTTCTTATGTAGATGTATATTTTCAATTATCTTGAAATACTTAGGAGTAGAACTGCAGGTCATACAGTAACTTTAGCTTTAATATTTTGAGAAACTGCCAAACTGTATTCCAAAATAGTTGTATAATTTTACAATCCTACCAGCAATGTATAAGATTTCCAATTTTCATCACCTCTGTTAACATTCTTATTGTCTAATTCTTTTATTACAGCCACACTAGTGGCATCTCATTATGGTTTTGATTCGCATTTCCCTAATTATTTTGAGCATCTTTCATTTGGCCATTTGTATGACTTTTTTGGATAAATGCCTACTCACAACCTTTGTCTATTAAAAAATAATGTTTTTTTTATTGTTGTGTTGTAAGAGTTCTTTATATATTCTGGATGCTAGTCCCTTACCAGATATATGATTTGCAAATATTTTCTGTAATTCTGTGAGTGGTCTTTTCACCTTTTTGATAGTGTTCTTTGAAACAAAAGAGTTTTAATTTTGATGAAATCCAATTTATCTATTCTTTATTGCTTGTGAATACCTAGAAAACGATTTCCTAATCTTAGATCACTAAGGTTTGCAACTGTTTATTCTAAAAGTGTTATGTTTTTAGCTCTTACATCTAGGTCTTTGATCCATTTTGATTTTGTTTTTGTGTACAGTATGAGGTAGATGTCCAAATTCATCTGCTTGAAGATATCCAGTTATCCTAACACCATTATTTAAAAAGACTATTCTTTTCCAAATGAACGGTCTAGGCATCCTTGTATAAATAAACTGACCATACACATATGAATTTATTTCTGAATTCTCAATTATATTCCCTTGATCTATATGCCCAAACTCAAACCAGCACCACAATGTCTTGATTAGCGTAGCTTTGTAGTAAGTTTGAAATCAGGAAGTGTGAACGTTTCAACTCTGTTCTTTTTCAAGTGATTTTGGCTATTATTGATCCTTTGCATTTCCATGAATTTTAGGGTCAGATTGTAAATTTCTGCAAAAAGCTAGCTAGAATTTTTGATAAGGGTTGTATTGAATCTGTACATCACTTTTTGGAGTATTAACAATATTAGATCTTCCAGTCCATCAACTCAGGATGACATTCCATTTACTTAAGTCTTCTTTAATTTCCTTCAATGGTGTTTTTTGTTTGTTTGTTTGTTTTTTGTAGTTTTGGTGTACAGGCTTTGCAATTTTGTTATATGTATTCCTAAGTATTTTATTCCTTTTGATTGTAAATTAAATGTTTTAAATTTAATTTGCAAATTGTTCATTGCTAGTATATAGAAATAGCATTGATTTTTGTATATTGATCTAATAACCTGCAACCTTGCTGAACTTGTTTATTAGCTCAGTTTTAGGATTTCTATACACAAGATCATGTTATCTTCAAATAGAGATAGTTTTACTTTTTCCTTTCCAATTTATATGTCTTTTTCTTGCCTGATTTCCCAGACTAAAATCTCTAGTAAAATGTTGGATAGAAGTAGTAGGAGTGGATTTTTGTCTTTTCCTGATCTTAGGTCAGAAATTTTCACTTTCATCATTAATAGCATTCATTACGGGTTTTTCACCGATACTCTTTATCAGGTTGAGGATGGTCCCTTCTATACCTAGTTTGTTGAATTTTTTATCATGACAGGGTGTGGGATATTGTTAAACACTTTTTCTCAATCTTTGATTATATTAATATATTTTATTTATCACATTATATTCATGGTCTTGAATATATTTACAGGATTATAAGAGTAATTTAAAAAGCCTTTTTCTGTGAATTGCATTATCTCTATGATTTCTGGAAATGTTTCTATTGACCTAATTTCCTTCTTGCTATGAATTACAATTTGCTTTTTCATGTGTATAGTGACTTTATATTGGATACTAGACATTGTGTTTACTATTTTGTTAAATAGTTTGAATTTTGCTATCTTCCTTTAGGCATGTTGATTTTTGTTGTTTAGCAGGCAGTTAGGTAATTTATGATTAAGTTCAAATCTTATTTTTAAGAATTTTTTTCAAGAGCGGGTCCAGAACTGCCTGAAGTCGAGGCTAATTGAATCCTACTACTAAGGCAGGACTCTTCTGTTTAATGAGAGCTTTCTATTCTGATAGAATGGAACATGAATGTCTCCCAGTCCTGTGTGAGCTCTTAGAATTAACTGTTGACCTTATGATTCCTCAGCAGTTTTTCTTTACTCAGCCTAGTGGACTTAAAAACATCCCTGAGGTAGAAGATATATTATCTTCCTTAGTCCTGACTTTTTGGTCTAAGTGGAAAAGGCATAATTTCAAGACTAATTCTCCCAAGAAAAAATAAGACAAGCGTTATCAAGTCCTTATGAAGCTTACAGAATAGAAAGAATAAATACTATGTTTGTAGTAATAACTTTTTTCCCACTTTCCTACTGCCTCATCTTAATTTTGTTATTTTTTTAATTTTATAGCATTATTGAAGTATAACTGATGTGGTGGTAACTTTTTACTTCCTTCCACTGCTTAAAACCCACAAAGTTCTAATCAATAGCTAGGTTTTATGGTTATGAATAGTAAACCAAATTCAGACAATGAAAACTCATTCCCATCTTTTGACATGTGAGTTGTCTTTCTCATATGATTGTATAGCCATTGCCTATCTTTAAAGGATGCTAGCAAGCAAAGAGTGCAATATGCTCCCTCTTTTCTAGCAGCCAAAAAAATGAATTCAATAACTGGAAGAAATGAGTAAGCGGGGCATTTGGAGAAAAATGTTATGACAATCATTATAGTCATTATTCTGAAGCCAAAAGTGATGGACCCTTTTCAATTACTTGATGTTCAAAATAAATATTTACTAATTCTGCAAATACACATTGAATACCAACTACTAATACTTCTAGCTGCTCAGGCCAAAAAACCTGGAGTCAACTGTTAACACCTCTCTCTCTCTCACACTCTACATCTAACTCATCATGAAATCCTGCTTACCCATCTTCAAAATGTATCCAGAATCCAAACACTTCTCACCATTTCAATTCCTTACAGTCCTGAACTAAGGCAACATTCTCTCTGTTCTAAATAACTGTCACTGTCCCTTAGGCTTCTGTTGCTGCCTTTACTTCCATTAAGTGTGTTTTCAATAGTGACCAGAGAAATCCTGTTAACGTATGTTAGACCTTTCACTCCTTTGCTCAAAATTCTCTAGTGGCTTCTGATCTCACTCGAGTAAAGGCCAAAGTTCTTAGAATGGCCAACAGGGTTTTAAGTGATCTGGATTCTTGTCATTTCTCTGACCTCACGACCTCTCCTACTCTAAAGACTCTATGCTTTTCCTCAAAATCAGATTAGGCACAATCTCCCTTTGTGGCTTTTGTATCAGCATCCATTCTGTCTGAAATGCTATTTCCCTAGAAATTCATGTGGCTCATTCTCTTACTTCGTTCAGGTCTCTATTCAAAACTCATCTTATCAATGAGGCCTTACCAGGACATATATATAAAATTTTAATATATACACATGCACGTTCACATGCGCATGTGCATGCACGCACACACACACACACACACACACACATGCACGCACACACGCACGCACAAGCACAGCATACCTGTAAGATGGATAAACACCAGGTTGTGTAGGGATGGCAAAACAAGTTGAGGAACTTGGTTTGCTATGTTTATCATGGTATTTTTAAACATAATGTAACTAAATTAAGAGGTTCATTATAATAGTCCAGTACTAATAATTCCTTCTAAAAATATATGGGTGTTAATATTTTGGCAACTTTAAGGGGTGAAAACAGACCCCCAATTCTGAGGTTAAAAACTAACAAATCAAAGAGGATGTTGGGCAGTGGAAAAAACACTGAGTAGCAGAAAATAATAAAATAGCTATGGAGAGCTGAAGATGAAGATTATTCAAAACCCAATCTAACTGGCTGACTAACCATAGTTATGGGCAAAAAGCTCAATGGGAAAGGCCAGAAAGAAGAGCCAATGGAAGAAGGAAGAAAGAAGAGAAAAATCAAGTGTCAGGAAGTAACAGATGAGGTGGTACAAATTAGAAGAGGGAATGGAAGAGCAACCACTGATGAGACAGAAGACGAATGGAGACTAAAACTGCTCTGGGAAGAAAATGGCTCTGTTATCTGTTTAAAATTTGAGTAACTCCTTTCTCCACCACTGCCACCAGCAGGGAGAAAAAGTCACCATAAACACTTTCACAGGTGAATACTTTTGAACCTTGAAGGGATAGGTAATTCCAGCATTTACATTTTTTTACAGCTATAGAAAGAAGAAAGCTTTTACATTCTTTCTGTTAAGCCAATAGAACACACACAAAAAAGATTAATCTCACTTGTGAATATTGATGCAAAAATCTTAAAGAAAAAATGATCCAACAGTATTCAGTAAAAGATCAGAAGACTACGAAGCCACAGCTAAGTAAGGTTAATGACAGGATATTTATTAATAATGTTCACTATGTTAATAGATTAAAGTGGGAAAAGCATATATGATCATCTCAAAAGCAGAAGGGTGGAAAGGAAGGAGAGAGGGAAAAAAGAGGGCAGAGAGGGAGAAGGAGAAGAAAGAGAAAGCTTCAATCTGGAATCATGATTAATAGTAAAACTCAAGAAGTATTTACATGAAAATTAGTAATATCCAGTATTATCACTGCTTTAGACTGAATATATGTGTCCTCCCAAAATGCACTTGTCGAAATCCTAACCCCCAATGTGATGGTATTAGGAAGCAGGACCTTTGGCAGGTGATTAGGTGCTCTTATAAAAAAGACCCTGAGGAGCTACCTCTCCATCCCTTCCAACTATGTGAGAAAGAACACAGTCTATTAAAAGGACACGGGTCCTCAACAAACACTGAATCTGCTAGAACCTTGATCTTGGACTTCCCAGCCTCCAGAACTGAGTTAATATATTTCCGTTGTTGATAAGCATCCAGTCTGTGGTATTCTGTTATAGCAGCCTGGACAGACCAACACGATCACTATTATCTTACAATATATCAGCCAATGATATTAGGTTTTAAAATGTAATAAGTATTGGAAAACAAAGACAAAACTACCATTAGTTAAATATGACACAATTACATATAGAAAAACCAGTGAACTACAGACAATAAAAAATTCAGTCTGGTACCATACTAGAAAATCAGAATATGAAAAACAGAATTTTATCTGTAAATAACCAGCGCACAGTAAGAAAAAATAAAAGGAAAATATCCCATTCACAATAGTTAGAGTAATATTAACAAGAAAAAGACAAAGACTTAATTGAAATACATATTTGTTTTTGGACAAGAAGACTCAAGATTGTGTTATCAATTCTCACTAAATTCATCAATAAAATTAATGCAATTCTAATTAAAATGCAAGATTTTTTTAAACTTGGTAAGACAATTTTACCTAGGAAAATAAACACAGTAGAATCAATAATGAAGATTAAAAAGAGAGGATTGCCCTGCTAGATATCAAATCATACTATGAAACTACAATTAAAAAACAAAGTAAACAGAGAAGATAAGAGTACAGAAAAACACATAAACACATTAAAACAGAAAGTATGAATTTATATATGAGAAATGTAGAATTTCAAATTGGTTGGAAAAAGATGAATTATGTAACAAATACTGTTAAATAACTGAACAGTCATTTGGAAAAAGGTAGAGTTGGATCCTTAACCTCTTACACCAAAATTAATTCTCAGGTGGATATAAATGGGAAAAATGAAACGGAAAATTACCACAAGTAAACATGGGTGGATGTTTTCAAATTAATGTTATACAGAGAAAAACTTTCTAAGCTAGAGACAAAATCCAGATGCCATAAAGGAGAAGACTTTCTTTGAATTTATCTTGTTTGGATTTGCTGAGCTTCTCTGTAAATCAATGTTTTTCAGCAAATTTAAGACATTTTCTGCATGATTTCTTCAAATACATTTTCTGCCCCATTCTCTCTCCTCTCTCCTTCAGAAACTCTAATTACTCGCATGTTAGACCCTTTGGAATTGTCCCACAGGTCCCTGAATTTCTATTTTTGGTTTCATTTTGTTTGGTTTCAATTTTCCCTCTTCTTAAGATTGATCTAGCTATCCTATTGACCTGGCTTCATGCTCTTTGGCTTCTCTGTCAGTTCTATTCAGCTACTGAGTTTCAGTGACAATTTTATTTCAGAGATTATATTTTTCAGTTCTAAAATGTTCATTTGTTTCTTTTTTACATTTTCTATTTCTCTGCTGAGATTACCTATCTTTTTACCTTTTCAAACAAGCACATTTTCCTTAACTCATTGAGCATAGTTAATAAAGGTGCTATAAAGTCTTTAATAACTCCAATAATTAGATCACTGTGGGTTTGGCATCTTATGATTTTCTTTTGACACTAGGTCAGATTTCACTGATTCTTCACAGGTTAAGAATTCTGGATTGCATCCTGGACGTTGTGAATATCATGTTGCAAAAATTTTAAATTTTTTTAGAACAACCGTCATCCTAAATGGGTGTTAAGTGATATTTCATTGTGGTTTGGATTTCCATTTCCCTTATGACTATTTAGGTTGAACATCTTTTCATGTGTTTACTGGCCATTTCTTTAGGGAAATGGTCAATTCAAATTCTTTGCCCATTTTTAAATTTGTTGTTGTTGTTGTTGTTGAGTTATAGTCTTTTTATATTCTGGATATTAATCCCTTATCAAAGATATGATTTGAAAATATTGTCTCCCATTCTGTGGGTTGTGTTTTTACTTTCTTGATAGTTCCTCTAACATACAAAGGATTTTAATTTTGACCAAGTACAATTTACCTGTTTTTCTTTTGTTGCCTGTATTTTCAGGATTCAAGAAATCATTGCCAAATCCAATGTCATGCGGTATTTCCCATGTTTTCTTCTAAGAGCTTCATCATTTTAGTTCTTAAGTTTAAGGCTCTGCTCCATTTTTCATTAGTTTTTGTATATAGTGTAAGGTAAGGGCCCAACTTCATTCTTTTGCATGTGGTATCCAGCACCATTTGTTGAAAAGACTGTCCTTTCCCACTGAATGGTCTTGGCACCCTTCTCAAAAATCATTTGATCACATATAAAAGGCTTTATATTTGAGCCCTCTATTCTACTGCACTATTCTATACGTCTGTCTTTTTCCAATATCACACTGTTATGATTACTGTAGCATTTTACCAAGTTTTGAAATCAGGAAGTGTGAGTCCTCCAACTTTGTTCTTTTTTTCAAGACTGTTTTGGCTATTTGGAATCCTTTGGGATTCCATATGAATTTTAGTACAGGTTTTTCTATGCGTGAAAAAAAAGCTGTTGGGATTTTAACAGAGATTGTATTGAATCTATGGATTATTTGGATAATAATGTCATCTTAACAATACTAAGTTTTCTAACCCATAAACATGGGATATCTTTCCATTTATTTAGGTCTTCTCTAACTTCTTTGAGTAATGTTTTATAGTTCTCAGTGTACAAGTCTTTTACCTCCTTGGTTATTTTTTTTCCTAAGTACTTTCTATATAGCTGTTTATATTAATGAGTGATAGAGCCCTGTCATTCTTCCTAAACATCTTTTTAATTCATCTTCTCCTCTCTTTGGTAACTTCTTTAGTTCAGAATCTTATCACAGATTAGCAATAACCTACATACTAGCATTCCTGAAAAGAAATTCTCCCCACCCCACTGTATAACCGTGCTTGCTAGTTTAAATCAAATTGATGGTAAAATGAGGATTACAGCAACAGTATTACCCCAATACACCATCTATCACATTGTACTATAAATACCTGCTAATGTATTTGATCCCTCCATCTTTTAGTTTTATATCTCTGGGAACTTGAACAATGCCTAATACATAACAGATAGTAAACAGAGTCTGATTTTTAAATAAATAATGACCAATGCTTATGTCACATCTACTTCTAATGTGAGACTGCTCATAATAAAAGATACATATAAATAAAATAAATGTAAAAGAATAGCAATTTACTTGTAAATAAATTAAATTTCTGGAAAATCCTTAATTCAAAGTAAGTTATTATCATTAATGCCAGGAAAAAAAAATGAGGGAATTCATACCCCTGTTCAGAATATTTGCCTGGTTTTCTAAGTCAGATATTTCAATCTTGACATTTTCTTTCATCAAATGCTCTCGTTTCTTTATTATTTCATACTCATTATTGAAGTCTGTAATTTCCTTAATAAATTTTTCCTCCTCCTCCGTCACTTTTCTCTTTGTAGCCTCCTGAAAAACAGAAACAAATGATCAAATATGTCTGCTAATTGCAGCAATATTTTTCTTTAGTGATTTAAAATGCAATGATTTGGAAATGTTAACAACAAAATATAAAATTATACTTCCTGCTATTAGCACAAAAATGTTATACTCCTCCAGCAATATTAATTAAAAAACTGAAGTTATTAGATAATAACAACCAACTATTTTCACATGAAAGATTTATCCTTAATGTTTCAGGAAAATCACTGATGTAGAAATTCAACCACTCATCATTATATATGTGTTTGCTTGTGTATTAAACTTATAGGTATATGCTGTTTTCTCATTGCAAATGGGTGGCAAAATTATTAAATGACCAAAGTTGAAAATGAAAATCTACACTCAAAGGAATTACTGTCTTACAGAATAAAAAAGAAAAATGAACAAACAAGAAAATTCAAGAAAATCTTTTAAAATGTAGACAATAAAGGTAAAATTACATATTCATTTCAAAATCACTTCTAAATAACAGTTTACATTTCATGAAATATCAATACGATGTAGAAATAAGAATTTCAAAAAACTTTAAACAATGCTAGAACCTAAACTTTTTGACAATGGTAGAACCTAAACATGCTGGTTTCTATTTCTTCAAAGAAATGTAACTAATTATCAGCTGGAAACCAGCCCTGCCATTCGTAACCATTTGGTGGTTAATTTTGTTGATTCAATTTTTAGTATTTTTAAAAATGTATTTTTTTCAAAATGTCAATTAATACAAGTCATATTTCTAAACTGGCCCCATAATTTAAAGCTATTGAGTCTGTTGGCTCTGACTTATGATAAAAAGGTAAACAAAATCTATCTTTTCACCCACATCCATAAATATGTCTAAAGTGTGAACATCTCTGCCTTTCAAAAGCATTAAAACCAAGGTCTTGAAGCCTGAGCAATTCCAATCAGTTTCACTGTTTCTTTTATGCTTATTACAATTGCAAATAATTTCTATATTGTATCCTGCCAATAAAATTCTTTCAAACTATATCACTTTACCAACTGGTTTAAAATAGCACTTAATAATTTTCCATATCTGAACAGGACTATATGCCAATATGCATATGAATAATTTTCTAAAAGTACACCTAAGTATATTTAAATACTTTCTGACACTTAAATACTTTTTGACACAGTTAGTGAACTAGAGTTTTCTAAGTAGCTGGAGACTTACAAAGGTTTGGAGAAGCATATTCCTTTGGTTTGTAATTTCACTGCACTGTCTTTCTAAGGCACTTTCATGAGTTTTCAAAAGCTGTAAGAGGAAGGCTTTTTCAGAAAACTGCTGAACCTTTAAAGTAAAAAAAAAAAGAAATCAGAATGAAACAATTAGACATTTTAGGGTACCTTAGTTAACAGAACAGATCTGTGTAGTATAAACATTTTCTATATTAATCTTTAAAACGCAAAATAAAATTCACATTAAACATCTTACTTTATATACTCTATATTATACTATTTTATAAATGCTTTATAAGTACAATTTTTATAATCTTTTCCCCCAATAAGACTATAGGCACCTCAAGAACAAAGAACATGTTAGCTTTTTCCTTTCTAATACCTAGCACATTTTGTAGCTTAGGTACTGAAGCTTTTGACAACACACTGAAATCTGCTTCTAGTTAGAAATCAAGCTGTCTAGCTTGTTTTAAAGAACAAGTTCTTATTCTCATCATTTACAAGGAAGATATGGATGAATAAATCATGTATATAACATGACTAATAAAATAATGACATAAAATCCACAAACCACAGACAAAAACTCAGTCCTGTGACTATAGTTAAAACAAATAAAACACAAACCTGCTGAAGTCCTCAAATGGGTTTTGAGAACTCATTTTTTATTTTAGTACCTCATTTGGTTCTAACTAGCAGAAGATATAATAAACATTACTATTAGACATGTAACTATTATTTCATTTGGGCTGTAAAGAATAGCATCTCCTGAGACCATAAATACTGAAATGAAAATCAGGAAGCTTTAATATATAAAAGCTAAAAATGAAGCCAGACTGGAAATAATCTTTCCACCACTGGCCCTCATAAGAAAGCATCACTTCAAGTTTGGGGCTGTTCCCATCTCCACAGAGAAAAGAAAAAGGAAATAAATTCAACTTAAATTGCAGAAAGCAAGATTTATGTTAGCTATAAGAACCTCCTCAAGGTGAGAGACAGGTTGTGAAATTTCTGTCCCAGAAGATATTGAATAGTAAAGAGCTTGAGAATAGTCTCATCCAGAGGCAAAGGGTTGGCCTAAAAGACATTTTGAAATGATATGGCTAAAAAGCCCTAGAAATACTGGCATTAAAAAAAGCAGCTGAAATAAACAGGAAATATGATCTTAAATTTATAAAATATCATAGCACATCTGCCCACACCTTCAGCACTTGATGATGATTTCATCAACTCTATCTTAAGAAAGACATTAACAGAGAAAGTTAGAGAGGTGCCATCTACATGATCAAAGGAATTCAGAAAACACTTTCAAAATTGGGGGAAGGGAGAATAGGGCAGTTAGTATTTTACTGTCTGAGAAGACAAAAATTAGAAAACATATGGCCTGATCTATAAAATCACATAGAAATTGGTAACAATGGTGAACAAGAGGATGATCATGAATTTTATCACATTTATTTTAAGTAAGAAAATACTTCTGAGCCATTTAGTGTTTATTATATAAATGAGAAGAAAACGAATTATATAACCTTAAGGTTAAATAATTAATTAGGTGCAAATTCAGGACTAAAATTCAGGTCGTTTGACTTTCTTGCTTCTAAATCATGATGTTAACATGGAAATACCAGAACTATTTTAAAGTAATTAGAAGATATGTTTGGAACTAAAAAGGGACTTTGGTTTCTGACAACAGTATAAGTTAAAAGGATATCAGTTTAAGAGAAAGAAAAACTACCAAATACTAGGTCCATCAGAACTTACTGAGAGAAGGTTGCCTGCAGTATATACCTAACTCTGAGTTGCTATTATGGACAATAACCATGAATGTCTACAAAAATGCTTTCAGACCAAATATTAACGAAATAAATTTTGGTTTAATCCAATTAGGTATTTCGGTAATATGCTTTTCAAAATCAAAATTTCTGAATTCTGATTCTGCTTCTACCACTGATCTAGAGTCAAAACTGTGTTGAAAATCAAAAATGGAGAAAAGATTATCAACTAAGGAATTTTATAAGAAGACTTAAGCAAATTTATTACTCAAATTCAGAAAAGTCTTATGTTAAGGACTTAGAAATTAAGGTGTTCTGTTCTGGCTGTCATTAAGGCCTAAAATTATCACTGAGTTCATGTTTTCTTTCTTAAAATAACAATTATTAAAGAGCTATTAGACATCTTGGCATTTAATTGGAATATTTTACCATAACCTGAAAAAATGAAATCTATATACCCCAGATGAAAGTAACACAACTTTTCAAAAGATTTATAAGAAGGGTAGAGCTATAACTTTCCTCTTCCCAAAATTCTATGTAAGTTATCCATTTTGAGGTCTTTTCTACTTCTTTGCTTTAATTCGTATTATTTCTGTAACTTCATTCTCACTTTCTATTTTACACTCTATCTTTATCTTTTACTTACACAGTTTCCTCTTTTAATCAAGATCTAAAAAGTCCCAGAGCATCAATAACTACAGAAAGATTATAGTAACATTAATTTTTAAATTTACTTAGGATGTGTGGTGAAAACATTTAATACATAAAGGAATTGACAAGTAGGGGAAAGAGAGTAATAGAGAAAGAAGCAGGACTTTGGAAAAGCTCAATAGGAAGATCAACAAAGAATAATGTCTCTAATACACTGACTCACAAATTGAGGACAGCAGTAAGTTAGGGTTGCAGAAGCTACATAAGGTCAAACAGTATTAGACCACCGTATTTTAATGGAACTAACGGGACAAATGCCTTAAAATCCATCCAGCTTCTCTGTACCAAGGATAAGTCTTTCTTTTTTTTCATTTTTTTAAATTGAAATATAGTCAGTTTACAATGTTGTGTCAATTTCTGGTGTACAGCATAATAGTTTGCTCATGTATATACATACATATATTTGTTTTCATATTTTTTTCATTATAGGTTACTAAAGTATAAGTTATTAACTCTTTACTATTAAATAGCTTTTCAGGGCCACTTATTTGCAGACTGTGTTTCTTATTGTTCCTTTTGTTCTTTCTATCATCACAACTTATCTTTTAAATTACTTTTCACATTCCTGCATTTGAAAAGCAGACCTACTGATGTGTGAACATTCCAAACATAACCTTGAAGATATTGATAGGATTACAAGATGAGGTCATTTTACAGAATAAATTATTACCGTTACTCATTAGAAATCTCTCTCACCTTCCCTTTGTTGCAAAAGTGATGGGTAGGAATCAGAATTAGAAAGATACTAGAAGAGATGTAAAAGTGGGGTTTAAAAATACATTTTGAACTTCTCTCTGTGAGTCAGGTTTGAATTGAGGCACTATCTTATATCCATGGTAACTTGGGCATCCATGATAAATAAAAACTTAAGAAACTACTGGCTATATCTGCTAAATTACCCAGGGATCCCAAAGGGCTACAAACAATAAGAAGAAAAGGGTGGAAAGTTCCCAGGAGCAGTAATACGAATTTCTCTTTCTCGTTTCCTTCCTCTGACTACACACGAAATGAAAATATTTGCATACAGCCTTAAAGTTATATTCTAGAATCAAATAGCCAAGCTTTGTCAGAAAATATTTCTATTTTAGAAAATTTTAACTTACAACAGTGCCAGCACTCTGGTTAATTTTACTCCTCTCAGCAATAAAGATTTTTTTCCTTTCCCTGTTTTATTCCTCCTAGGATATTAGATTTTTCAACAGAGATTATAGTTTTCCCAGTGAGCTAACTTATCTGGTCAACTAGGTCAGTTTTCAGTATAGTCATGATTAGTGACTCTTCACTACTCTTGCTGCTTGGGCGCCTTTAAGTATTTTTCTATCAGAAGAACGTGAAAACTGAAAATGATTAAGGATTTTAAATTAATGTTTGGGTCCAAGTAAGCATAGTACAAAGTATAAGCTACTCTTCATTGTGGGTGCTGTTGTTTAAAGAAATTTCAGCCTTTAGGAACTGACATTTTGCTGATTAAGTGCTCAGCCCAACAGTAAAATAGGCAACATTACATAAGAAAGCACAATAAAAGAAGATTTCACATTCATTAAGGTCATAGTGAACAAACTGATCACTAGAAATGAAGTTGAATTAGCAATAAAAAACCTCCCTACAAATAAAAGTCCAAGATCGGACATCTTCACTGGGGAATTCTACCAAACATACAAACAAGAACTCATATCAGTCCTTCTCAAACTCTTTCAGAAGATTGAAAAGGAGGGAATACTCCCAAACTCATTCTATGAAGCCACCATCACCCTGATACCAAAACCAGGCAAAGACACTACCAAAAAAGAGAATTATAGGCCAGTATCACTGATGAACATAGATGCAAAAATCCTCACCAAAAGATTAGCAAATAGAATCCAACAACACATAAAAAAGATTATACATCATGACCAAGTGGGGTTCATCCCAGGGACACAAGGCTGGTTCAACATATGCAAATCAATCAATGTAATACATCACATCAACAACAGAAAGGACAAAAACCACATGATCATCTCAATAGATGCAGAAAAAGCATTTGATAAAATTCAACACCCATTTATGATAAAAACTCTCGCCAAAGTGGGAACAGAGGGAACATATCTCAACATAATAAAAGCTACATATGACAAACCTACAGCCAGCATAGTACTCAACAGTGAAAAACTCAAAAGCTTCCCACTAAAATCTGGGACAAGACAAGGCTCCCTACTATTACCACTCCTATTCAACATTGTCTTGGAAGTCCTAGCCACAGCAATCAGGCAAGAGAGAGAAATAAAAGGGATCAAATTGAAAAAGAAGAGGTAAAAGTGTCACTATATGCCGATGACATGTTACTATATACAGAAAACCCTAAAAGGTTCACACAAAAACTACTAGAGCTGATTGAAGAATTCAGCAGGGTAGCAGGTTACAAGATTAACGTTCAAAAATCAGTTGCATTTCTTTACACTAACAATGAATCAACAGAAAAAGAAAGTAAAGAAACAATCCCTTTTAAAATATCACCCAAAATAATAAAATACCTAGGAATAAATCTAACCAAGGAGGTTAAAGAATTATACACAGAAAACTATAAACCATTGATGGAAGAAAATTAAAGAAGACTTTAAAAAATGGAAAGATATCCCATACTCCTGGATTGGAA